GAAAGATGGTCCAATGAGAGAAGGGGAGGGGAGGGTCCTCGGGCGCCCGACACGTGACCGGTGGACCGGCCTAGGAAGGCCGCGCGAGTGCGGAGGCCCTAGGAGCGCCGAGCGACGGAACGAAATAGGGGAGATGCCCAAAGGAGGGCGCGGGAAGCCTAGGAGGGCGCGGGAGAGCGCGACTGAATAGGGAGACGGAAGTATTAGGGGAAATGAACGAAATGGGACAGAAGCGGAAGCAGAAAAAGAGAACAATGAGACATGAGGCGAGTGTGGGAGCCGTGCCCTGACAGGTTGCAGTTGGACAGGTTTGCCAATTCGATAGAGGACCCAGCTGCTGCGGTAGTCAAATGGTGGTTGGGGTTGGGTGAGAAGTGCAACATCACACCTGAATTCAAGTATTAACCCATTGGTTTTACAAAGGTGAGAGGAAAATAATAAATGTACTGTGCCCGTGGCATATTGAGCATATCTGAAAGTTGCACAGCACTGTGAGGACACGTAGATTGTTGGGGGGTTGGCATGCCAGGCTGTCCGGGGGTTCATCTTGCAATGGTGGGCATGACCGCTATAGATGCACACCCCATCTCCCGACCCATACTCTCTGAGCAGGCTCAGAGAGTGGCATGACTCTACCAAGGCCCGTGCCCTTGGCCATGGCAAGAGTGAACCCATCATCTATCGTCTTTGCTGGCACTGTTGGTGGGAGATGAGTTGGACGAAGGGTTGTGCGGCTTGACCGTACACATTGCCACTGCTGTGCAGTCAGCACTGGCACGACCCACTGGTAAAGTGTTCTGAACAGAGAAGTGCTTAGATGCCATGTGGAAACCATGGTGCGCACCATATGGCTCCCTGGCGGCGGTGTTGCTTCCTGGATTCCATCAGTGTCACTGTGTTTGTTCCAGTGGGCGGCAGGGCCACTGGAATCCATTGTGATCTGCAGTGGAACTTAGTTGTATGCACCTCTGGGATCGCATTAGCTTGAGTGTCCAGTGGTGTCCAGCGAACAGCTGGTTGGCCGTGTATGAGAGGGGGCACAAACAGAGAAGGATCCAGTAGCCTCACTCAATAATGAGGGTAATGAGCCTTAGTTAACGAGTCGAGAGGCTTACAAGCATGAGACGTTTGATGGGATCTGCCATATCCACATGGCTTGAGTCAGCATTGCCGGATGGTGCAGTAGCAATTCAAGCTCCGCTTCAAATGACAAACATGACGAATGCGATGAGGAGTGCGTTCGCTATGGATCAATGAGCATCCTCTGCCACAAACTACACTGGTATGGCAAGGACACGTCGCCTACACACCCGTCGCTGCAAAGAAACAAAGACCAAGTTGCTGCTATGGAGGTGGATGCTTGCAGTCACGTGCGACCTCTTCTCAGAAGCCGAGGATGAGGTTGACGAGCTGAATGCTCAGGCCATGCCTGCACTCACAATCAAGGCCAAGTAGAATCAGCCGCGGCATGGCAAATGGGGCAGAAGGGGTCCATACAATGCTCCTCAAGTAGAGGAATTCTTCAACTTGCTTTTAGAAGGGTTTAGTGAGAAACAATTCAGAATATGGCTGTGGTAATTCAGATCCTGTCATGATTGACGTGATAACTGACTGCTCTGCATACACAGCATGTCTAGGGATGCATTATAGCATATACATGGCCTGATTGAAAGTGATCCAGTCTTTGCCAGCACACCTCGTTGCCCTCAGCATCCCATCAAGTTTCAGATGGCCGTATTTTACATGCAGGTCGGCCAGTTGACAGCCCTACGCACAGGCAACATCATTGGAGTAGCTGAAGGCAGCAGCTTCCTCTACTTTGACCGTGTGTCTAAGGCACTCCGCCGTGTCAAGCCACAGTATTTCAAGTGACCAGATGCTGCACGGCAGGCGACAATCAAACAGTGGATGAAGGACAAGACCTTCCCTGGTTGTATTGGGATTGGAGATGGATCTCTTCTCAGGCTTGCTCATTGGCCTCTTAGAAATCCATGGTCATTCTGGTGTCGGAAAAAGTTCTATGCAGTGAGTGTCTTCATACCTCCATGTGAATACACCACTCAAATGCTGATTTATGTAGCTCTCAGTTCAGGCCGATGTGACCACGAAGGCTTCATAATCAGCTATGAGCTTGGCTGGCCAGGATGTCTTACCAATGCTACCATATTCAAGCAGTCCCGGCTATGGCAACATTGTGAAGAATATTTTGAGAACACAGAGTTCATCATGGTAGACAAAGGAATGTCATATGTTTTGCATATCTTCATTATTGTGCTTACAATGATAATTGTAGGTTATCCCCTCTCAATGTAGAGTACAGACTCTTGTCATTGTAGCTCAACAAACATGCAGACATCGCCGCAGGTTGGAGTGGCAGTTCACACGATACCTCCACCTATAGACTTAGCATTATACTAGATGATTCAGCTTCTGAACACTTTCCAGCTGTTCTTGACTTAGCAAAGTCTCTACAAATGCCGCACACCTATCCACTCCAATATGCACAACCACCCCTGACCAAAGTTAGCCCAAGTGTCCCCACTACAAATAAAAGCAGTATGTACATGATGTTGGGTTATCCAACCAGATGAACAGAGGGCACCGACTGTGCTGAAGCTGCACCTATGCAGTCTTGAAGTTTTCCATGAGTGTTGCACTGTTTACGCAGCATACTAGCCATTCTTCCCAGTTTGCTACCCAGACACGCTGGGGAAATGCCTTCTTCATGTCGTCCAGGCTCAGGCCTGCCCAGAAGAAAGTAAATCCACAAAGATGCAGAACACAGCAAATAACAGGTGATGTGCCTTTAGCAGACAAGAGTACATGGTGTATCTTCAGCCTGATTAGGTCACCTATGCTCGAATCGTCTTGTTGAATGAGACAAAATGCTTGGAAAACAAAGTGTTTGTACTTGGCTGCAGACGGACAGTAGTCCCCATCAATGAGTGGGATGCGGGGCACACCGCTAGCCATACCCATGGCATGGTAAAGGGTAAGTGTCAGCCCCTCACTGGACCTCTGGAGAGTACTTCAGCTCCTCTGGCAGTAAAGAGGGCGATGGACATCACACCTGGAGCACTCACTTTGAAGAATTGATTGATATTAGTATGGAATGTTGCATTCTCTCTCTCCAACTCCAGAAGCATCATCTTGTGTATAGCACAATCCAACCTACGCGGCTCAGTGAGGAAACCCATAGCTTCGCAGAAATACACACTTGTGAGAAAGCCAATGTGCCTTCTGACATGGTTTGGACTAGTACAGATGCATCAGTCAGATGCTATCTATCTGTGTGTGAAGGAGCAAGGCGCACGCAATAAGTGGTGTGTTTGCATGCTACACATTCGGGTAAATTAGACACCATGTACGTATCATAGCAAAGCATTGTACCACTGCACTTGAGAGGCTTGATCTTCCCATCTACGAAGGATGCACAACACTGTTCGTTGGAACATGAGCTCTGAATCATAGTAGGAAATTTGCTATAGTATGCAGGCTAAGTGTTTGCCAATGAATCTGCTGGTACAAGATGGCCAGCAAAGTAGAGATCAGACCCTTTATACTGGCATCAGAAAGCATAACATGGTATGATCCCTTTGTCCCTTGCATGTAGATTACCCAGAGATCCAATAGATCAAAGGAACTTTCTTTGTCAATGTGACAAAGGCAACAAATTGCATCCCTGTGCTCTCAGTGAGAGGTTCATGGGACTGTCGTGGGATTATACCCATGCCAGATTTGCCTTTTGAACTTCTGTTAGTAAGCAAAATATATCACATTACACGTACAGCAAGTTGACAATATGATCTTGGTTAGCCATTCAATGTGATCTGTGCTCTGTTGTAGTGATGCTAGCATTGTCCGTCTGTAAGTATTGTGAAGCGTGATACCTACATATATTTGACCAACAGATAACATGAGTTGACAGATTTTTTTTAAATGGTCTGAACTGTACACAAGACAGATTGGCTCACAGAGGGCATTGTTTGTGTGATCTAAGACACAATATACATCAAAGCTCACTACTGTCCACAGTGAATGCATCTTGCTGTCTGTAGAGGATGTGCGTGTACGCAGGTTGATAAGTACCAACACCAGACAACCAAGTCAAGCTCAAGAGCTATACATTTTGATGCAAGTAAATCTGGAGGGTACTGGAACGGATGTTGTGATGTATTCGATCATGAAATAAATGTGTTCAACAACGGATTTGGTGTCTGCGGCTTGAGAATGGTGAGAATGTATCTACTACAAGTCGGCACGACATACTTGCTTAGGCATCATCCAGCCATTACAGTCCATTGGAAGGTGTTTGACTGTACTGCAGGATGTACCACAAATCTACTAAGACCTTGAAACCAGAGCAAAACTTGACGACAATCTTCAGCCAATACTCCCAGTTCAGGATGGTAATCAGGTGGTTCAAGCTTGGAAGCAGTATTTGACAGTGAAAGCACAGACACAACATTATAGTCCCATTGTCGAACTAAAACTTGTATATGATGAGCATAGATGAGTCTAGCGCCGTGGACAAGCACATGAGACATGACACTTTGTCGGGACCACAAGACTTGCAAGTATCAAACTCGACAAAATCACAAACCTCGCATGACTGAAGCCAACAGGATAGAGGGTGATTGGGGTATTCCTGGCAGTGTACGGTTGCCACCGCAACCTTGATTTGGGCATCAGAAAGTTGGAACGTGTATTCTATCTAAGGCCCAGTCAAATGCAGAGTGATGAGTCTGATGAAATAGTCACTTTATGTAACAGTTCTGTGGAAAAAGACAGACATCCATCCAGTAGCGCAAAGCACATTGTAGGGATTGATTTCAAGGAGACATAGATTGAAAAGCTTTGCAAGACTCCCTGCTAAGAATCAATAAGATAAGTTGCAAAAATAGTGTGCAGACTGCAACCTATTAGTAAACCAATGGTGTTTCTGGCATTCCTTGGACTAGAAGTGGGACAAGCTCAGTATATATCCTCACTCTTAGAGCAGATACTCGCACAGTACCATGCACCTGAGCAACCTAATTGCAAGGTGTGATTAACTTGAAGTGAGTATATATCAAAACGGAGGTGATATGTTAAGGATCACCTTTGCATTTCTTGATATCCTCAGTGCACGTGTACGAGAAGCAGAAATCACATACAAGCTTCACAAACTTGGTGAGGTACAAGGCATAATTGTGGTGTAGCGGAATCGAGGATGAAGAAGAGTGTAGAGGCATAGGTAGATATAATGGTTAAAATTGGCGGCTTGGGCAATGGAACAAAGACACAAAGGGAGTTCAATCAGATATCACATGACTCACATGATACAGTGCTACACGTGGTGAAGGCAAGTTCAGAGAGGACTATGGATCTCCTTTGGACATGTGGTTGACGATGACATTGCTTGCAAAGCAATCAGCAAGACAAGAAAGGAGGATGTATATGACCATTATCTTCACCAGATGAATGGAGACTGAATGTGATATCAATGTAGCTGCTGAAGCGGCACAGTGCAGAGCAGTTGTAGTGTCTGGTATACTTCATACCAGATGCATGTAGGCCTCTGCATTTCTTGTATACCTTCAACTGGCTGGCTGATAGCATTGAATCAGGTGCCACAAGTGTGACGAGCGACGTGCAGGGGAACGCCCGTTGGGGTTACCAACTACTCAGACAGCCGGAATGTCCAAGTAATCGGGTAGAGTTGGATGGGAGAGCAGCGTCGTCGGCACTTACTTTAGGCAAGAGTACACGCAGAAAAGGAGGAGCTGAGCTCGACTCAAGGTCACTGGACACGAGGTCGACAGCGACGCAATAGGCACCTAATGGACTCAAGGTCACACACTAAGTCCCCAAGACACAAGTTAGCATAGTATCTAATACAGAGACGGTTACTCACCTAAGTCCCCAAGACACAAGAGGTCGAGATGGGGACTTAGGGCGAGCTACAGGGGTCTTATATACACAAATCCATGGTCCAAGAATAGTACAAGAGAATCACATGCAGGGCACAAGGATGAGTAAGACCGACCCACTTAGGTGGGTCAGGATTATGAATCAAGG